AAAATTGCTCCATCACCCTAGGTTTTCGAGAAATCCTAACCTAAAAGTTCAAAAAACACGATTTTTCACTATATTTCGCGTAGTATTATGTCGTAAGCCAATTTTATTTTACAAAACGAGTAATGCTATCTCAAAGTACTACTCTTACCCTTCAAAACCCTTTTTCAGATTTGAAAAATCTTTTTTTTCCATCGAGATATCGTAGATTGAATTTGAGTGATTTAGCGATTTCGTTACAGGACGAAATAGTGGCGAATTTCCGAATAAGGAGTTATAGTATAATTATATGTTTTTGGATCACTGAATCCAAATTTAACGTCAGAATGACTCTATAATCTTAATTCCCGTAACCCTAGAGTCCCATAACCTGCGACGCTGTAACCCCTGGCCGACATACTCCAAAGTCCTTAACTCTTGAGCCCTTCAACCTGCTATGGTATAACCCCCGACCCTCACACCCCAATTTCCTTAACCCTCGAGCCTTTAACCTGCGAAGCTATAACCCCCGGTCCTATCGAGGGTTAAAGAAATTCGGGTTTGGTGGACGGGGAATACCGCTGGGTCAATGGAACAACGATAGACGTCATTTCTGCGGTAAAAGAAGGTAGAAGAATTTGTGTCTGTGATAGGAAAATTCATATCCAACTTACGTATACAAGTACAATTTACGTTTAAATACAAGTGTCTATAACTTGCGAAATCGATCAGCTAGGATTTTTAATCTTACATTTTTCTGGTCTACTAACGATGACGAAAGTATCTACGTTAGCAGATATCGGATTCACTTAGGGCCTACATTTCCTTACTTGAGGATAACCGTGTATGACATTGCTCAAAAACTACAAATTTTTGTGCTTCATTCTTCATCCGTGTTAGGGATCGTGTTTGAGAGGCAGGCTAACGGATAAGTCACTGGAATTGAATTTTTGGTATTATTTCTCGTACAACACTGCGTGCAGTACTTTCATTGATTTTTATTATAACTTCATTTTTCAGAAATTTTATCATTACCCCATTCCGGTATTAGAATAAGTTTGTAATATTATTCGTGTTTTAAAACTGCTCGAAAACTCCAAGTTTTTGTGTTCTACTCTTCATCCGTGTTAGAGATCGTGTTTGAGCAGCAGGTTAACGGAGAAGTCACTGGAATTAAATACTTTCAATTATTTCTCATATAACACTGCGTGCAGTAATTTTATTGTTCTTTATCATTACTTTGTCTTCTAGAAATTTAATTATATTTACCGATTTCGTTATTAGAATAAGTTTATAATATTACTCGTGATTTCCAATTAACTTATAAGTTATTGAAGATGTCGGCATGTAGAATTTCATGCAAAGGAAAAATCGATTTCTTTTGTAATATCTGCGGTAAATTTGAGGTAGCTCGACTTCGTCGATCAATCACTGATATCATTAAAGATCAGTTTGAAGAATGTTACGATACACCTATGAAGAATTTAGACAAACAAAGGGTTCCTAAATATATTTGTGAAGACTGTCGCCGAAGTTTGGAAAACTGGAATAAAACTAAAACCGAAGTTGTTCTCCAACCAACAATATGGCGTGAACCTAAAAATCACCATGATGACTGTTACTTTTGTAAATGTGATACTTTAGGTTTTAATCATAATAACAAAGCTTCTCTCCTTTATCCGAACGTTTCGAGCGTAACAGCAGCTTAGTATGGAAAAATAGAAAGAAAAAAAAATTCTGATTCTGAGCCAAAAAAACTTCAACCAATAGAAGTTCCGGTAACAGACAAAAGCAGCAGTAGTGACGAAGAAGATTTTTCTGACTCAGAAAAGCCCAAACTTTTGGACCAAAATTCTTTGGATGATCTGATCCGTGATTTGAATCTTCCGAAAGATTCTTGAGACCTTTTAGCTTCAAGACTAAAAGAAAGAAATCTTTTATTACCTGAGACAAAAGTTTCTATTTACAGGAAGAGAGATATTAAATTTCGGCCATATTTTACTTGCGTGGATAACCTTGTTTACTGCAACGATATAAAGCATCTCATCAGTTTATATGGAGTGCAAGGAGGTTATAATCCAGAGAACTAGCGACTCTTCATGGATGCATCTGTTCAAAGTCTCAAGGCAGTACTTCTGCACAATGGGAATGAGTATGCAGCTATTCCCATTGCTCATTCCACTGTGATGAAAGAGACTCACGATAACTTTCGAATCCTTCTTGAGAAAATCAATTACAATGAACACAAATGGCTCGTCTGTGGCGATTTCAAGATGATCAATATATTGGTGGGCTTGCAATCTGGAAATACGAAGCACCCCTTTTTTTGTGTCTCTGGGACAGTCGTACACGAGAAGAACATTGGGTTCGGAAAGAATGGACGAAAAGAATCGGAATGGTTGTTGGATCACACAATGTCATCCATGAGAACCTTGTTGATACTAAACATATCTTGTTACCTCCACTCCATATAAAACTGGGCTTGATGAAGCGATTCGTCAAGGCACTAGATAAGGAAGGCGAATGTTACAAGTATCTTCAGGGCAAATTTCCTAAATTGTCTGAAGCGAAAATTAAGGAAGGCATATTTGTAGGGCCAGACATTCGAGCACTTATGAAAGATGATGAATTCCTCTTGACAATGACGACTAATGAGAGAAATGCTTGGCTAAGTCTCAAAAGTGTCACCGAGAATTTTCTCGGAAACCACCGGGACCCTAAATACAAAACTATTGTGTCGAGAATGCTACAGAATTTTCAAAAATTAGGGTGTTTGATGAGCCTGAAAATACACTTTTTGTTTTCACATTTGGAATACTTTCCGGACAATGTTGGGGCGTTCAGTGAAGAAACGGGTGAAAGATTTCATCAAGATTTCAGAAACAAAGATTAACATTATCAAGGTAGATGGAATGAGAGCATGATGGCTGACTATTGCTGGGCTCTGCACCGACACGATACATTGACAGATCATCATAGACGCAAATCTTTTAAACGTTCATTTCAAGATAAAGGATAGCGTTTTCATAAAAAAAAGAAGTGAAAAGCTGTAGGGTTGCAGATATTCAGATACAAAACTCACAAACTGAATAAATGAGATTTAAAACGCGTAATTGAAAGCTGCGTAGAATAGAAGGCTTGGATATTGAAGGGATTGAAATGTAGAGACATACGGTTATACGATAGCAGCTTGAAGTGCTGATTGAGGAAATTCTGGCAAAGGAGTCTCAGGTTGCAGACTTGCAGGGCTCGGGGGTTGAATATAATTTGGAGGCTTGAGGTATTCTGCGTAGCGAATTTCGGTATGAGGGTTGGGGATTATAGCGTCGCGGTAATAGGGCTCGAGGGTTGAGAAAATTGGGGTGTGAGGGTCGTGGGTTATAGCTTCGCAGGTTAAAGGCTCGAGGGTTGAGGAAATTGGGGTATGAGGGTCGGGGGATATACCGCAGCAGGTTAAAGGCTCGAGGGTTAAGGAAATTTGGGTGTGAGGGTCGGGGGTTATATCGCAGCAGGTTAAAGGGCTCGAGGGTTAAGGAAATTGGGGTATGTCGGTCAGGGGTTACAGCGTCGCAGGTTATGGGGCTCAAGGGTTAAGGAATTAAGATTATAGAGTCATTCTGACGTTAAATTTGGATTTAGTGACCCAAAAAACATATAATTACACTATAACTCCTTATTCGGAAATTCGCCACTATTTCGTGCTTAACGAAATCGCTAAATCACTAAAATTCAATCTACGATATCTCGATGGAAAAAAAAGATTTTTTAAATCTGAAAAAAGGGTTTTGAAGGGTAAGAGTAGTACTTTGAGATAGAATAACTCGTATTGTAAAATAAAATTGGCTTACGACGTAATACTACGCGAAATATAGTGAAAAATCGTGTTTTTTGAACTTTTAGGTTAGGATTTCTCGAAAACCTAGGGTGATGGAGCAATTCTGAGGTCAGATTCGGTTTCAGCGCACCAAAAACCTTTGGGAACGTACTGTCTGGTTTCTGGGTTTTTTTCCTTGTCGGCTTGTGTTATATTGGTATACTATACTAACATAATTAATATTATATTTAATGATATACAGATCAAAATTTTCAATTATAATACACTAGAGCTAATTCACTCTTTTGAAACACAGTGATTATGTGGTTGTCTCATGACTCGACCATCCATATCTAGATGGTATCGGCCAGCCACGAGCGGCAAGAAATACACTCACTGAATATATAAGTCAGCATAGCGATACGAACAGCACTTCGAGCGTATGAGGCAGATGTTACCGGCCGTCGAGCCTCACTGACGAGTCCAGCCGGTAGCATCGGGACGAAACGCTTCCTACCTTACCAATTTCTCACAAGTGTGAGCCTGGCTACCTCACACTACGACTAACCTTTTACACGAGACTCCTCGTTCACACCTATACATACGCATTAAATCTTAAATAGCTACAATCATATTAGATATATCATAGTTCATCTAACTCAACTATTCATTAATTTTAACTAATAGTGGTATGTATTTATATATTATTGATAGTAAAAATTAAATAATAACAATTATTTCTGCTATATTAATGGCAGAATTATTTAAGCAGCTTTGATAATTCAAATATATATCTTGAATGATATACAATTCAAAAATAATAAAGAAATACAGTATACCCTGAATATAAGAAGTTTAATGAAGTAGCTTCTTTTAAAAGCTTAGGTTCAAAAGCTTGATTATTGGTCTATTAAAAACCGAAGTGTAGCCACCCTATAATATAATAGAAGCACATAAAAAGGCTAGCCAGTGCGCTGCAGTTAATAATAATTCTGTGCCAAATATATGACCAAGAAATACGAGAAAAACTGTTAAAAAAGCTTGATTAGAAATTCGGTAGGTTCACTCTCCGTTTGATGGATTAAAGGTCGGACGTCGACGAGACTTTAAATAATAAAAATTCATTAGCGAGTGCAAAAACAAGGGAATTTGGAAAAAGGAAGGAAAGAAAGGAAAAGAAAAGTAAGAAGAAAAAAGCAGAGCTGTTGCTAAATCGGTTTTAATTATTCGGATACAACACCATTGATAATCATGTCATTCTAAGCCCAACCTGTGGATGCATCACTTATTTAAAGCATTGAAGTCTTACATCAGCTATAACATTCCAATCTTCTGGTAGTTCTACTTTAAATATTTTCAAAATATATCAACTTGTTCAAAATGAAGATATTTTTTAGTTTCATCAAAGCAGATTAATAATTTATATTTCTCATCTGACTTCTGTAAGGGAAGTATATATTCAGTAATAATTACAAAATCTTTCATTTATTTTATGACAATTTACACTTTACCGTTATCAAATTATCCATGAATATCGTACAAACCATCAATGAAGAAAGATACTTTCTTGTAAATAATAATAAATATTTAATATCTACTAATACATAAATATTCATGCAATGAAAAGGTATTTCACCTGGATGACTACAATGATGTGAATCCATTAAATTAACACAGCAAAGTCTAACTAAATTTGTAGACAATTTCTCAGTAATTTTGTTCATAGATTCATGATGAATATATAGTTCAACCTATCATAGTAATTCAAAGAATAAAATAATAGTTCTAAATTCCAAGAAATAAGCTGAAGTACTATAATATTTGTTCATTACCTGTCCTGGGCAATCAATCAAAAGGTAGTGGTTTTTGAAATTAAGAACTTTTCTAATCAACCATTCAATATTTTTCTCTAAAAACTCAATACAATATACAAAAGCCCCATTAAGTCCAAATTTTTAAGTTTTCATAACTTCTTGATGTATAACTAATTCAGAAACATCTACTGCTGGGCAATTCTTGGCTATTTCAAACAGTTTAAAACTTCAAATCACCAATTTTGTTCAAAGTTGGTAGACTTGTTACCTATACAGAGGTCAACATCTGTGCAGAGTTTTAGATCAAAATATTGATAAGGGGCCGACTTATCAACTGTTGAAAAAATATTGGACTTTTTTTTATTAATTCGATTTCTCGAAGACTAATAAAGATATGGACATGATTCTTTTTTTAAAAGACGCGGAAAGAGTTTCACATTTAAAATATAGATAATAAAATACCAAATCATTTATTTATGCCATTGTTATAAACAATTTTTTCAAAAAATCGACGACATCTCAAAAAACGATATTTTTTTTTAATTTTTGCACCATCGTGTTCCTTGTCATTTTTTGCATAAGAAACCACTGAGAAAATCGAGTGCCCGCTATTAAGATTAAGATTGCACTAAAATGAAACGAACCGGGCGCTAGCCGCTCGGCCGTCTGTTACTCGTGCGGTTCCAACGTTGCTTGCTGCAATTGCCTTCTTTAAAGAATAAATAATTTCATATTCTAACAGTCTATATGTATTTATTTGAATAATATATAAATGTATTAATTAAGTAAGTAATTAAATTTAAATTAAATTTAATAACTTATTTTCTTAATATAAAGTAATATAAGTAATATAAATGAACTATTATTTTGTACAATCTGAAACAACATTGAATGAAACATTTGCTCTGTGCGTTTGATCGGGCGTAAGAATGACGTATATGCAAAAATATATGGTAGAAAATATAAACACTAATTTGTAATAGCTTCTAGAAGTCTTTAAAAGTCTTTGAATTTCTTACGAAAAAGAATTTATGCTAAATGTGAGGCTTACTTTTACTTTCTTTGCTCGACTACCTGAGTCACAGCGAAAGGATTAACAATCAGTGAACGGATTAGCTTCAAAAGTATATATAGTAGAAATTATAAACACCAATTTGTAATAGCTTCTAGAAGTCTTTATTAATGCTAAATGTGAGGCTTACTTTTACTTTGCTCGACTACCTGAGGCACAGCGAAGGGGTCAACAAGGAGCGAAGAGACTAGCTATAAAATATTCTAGAATTAGTAGACTTTGACCTGAAACTGCGATTATTTGTGTGTCTCTAAGCTGTGTCAGTATGCATTCACCATCTGCCTTTGCCACGTAACAGTTGCATCTGGAAGAAGCTACATTTTGAAAAACTGCGATTTTGAAGTTATTTGCGTGTTTTTGTGTTACGATTCAAATAGCTTAATTGTGAGTTTTAATTATTCTGAATGTAAAAACATTTTTCAACTTCATAACAATAGTCGTAAAGGTTGTTTTCAGCCACCTCCAAACTATATTTATGTAGAATTCCGCTCGTATCTGGGAAAAGGAGATTTTTTGTGTCCAACTTGTAAAAGAAAATGTTATAAAGTAATAGCTAATCGAAAATTGGAAGGTAGTGTGCAAAGTTTAATTAAAGATGTCGGATTGCATCATGGAAATGACCATGAAGTGGAGTACATAGAAACAGAAATGGTATGTTTAGAGAAGTACAATTTTAATATAGACGATGAATTCAAGCTTGAAGGAAATAATCAACGTGATTATGTACTAAAAGCATTAAATGAATTGAATGATAAATTACATTTAAATAATATAAGTTTGATTGATCTGAAAAATCCTCGTATAGTTGAAGACAAAATTAATGTTCTCGTTGATTATTTGAAAGCTGCGATTCTAAGGGAACATAAAAATAATGATCAAAAGCACGAAAATAAAGATATCAGTGTGTTAGATTCTAATTTTATCGATGAATTGAAAGAAAAGTATAAAAAAGCTACTACTCGGTTTGAAAAAATTCACATTTTAACAATTCTTCCACCTTCATGGAGTATACGTAAAATTCAAAAAGAAATAGGGTGCTCTCTTTATATTGCTTCAACCGCTAAAAAACTTCGTGCAAACGAAGGACTTCTATCCTATCTGCCGACACGAACAAGAAAACATATCGTAACTGATAAGACAATAGAAAATGTAACATCATTTCTTTTGCAAGATGATATCAGTCGAATCTGCCCTGGGATGAAAGACTGTAAAAGTGTAAAAACTAATGAGAAACGAGAAAATATTAGAAAAAGATTATTACTCCATATTCTTAAAGAAGCATACGCACTATTTAAAGAACAGTTTCCAGAAGATAAGATTGGATTCTCTACATTCTGTCAGTATCGACCAAAATAATGCGTTCTAGTAAGTGATTTAAATGGGTTTCATAATGTTTGTCTTTGTATATATCATAAAAATAATAAGTTAATGTTAGATGGGGCTTATAAGTTTTTAAAAGATTATGATATAATTCCGATAAATCAAAAGGAAATTTTTAAACATATACTATGTAATAATCCAACTGAGGCATGTAGCTATAATGCAAGTTTTGAATGTCCTGGCTTTGGTTTCTTAGCTAATAAATTAGTAACTTTTTTCATAAATAATTCAATTAGTAGTATCAAATTCAAACAATGGAAGAATGTGAATGGCAGACATCAATTAATTGATGTTAAGTTAATTAGAGAACAGTATGTCCATGAACTAACAGTGCAGTTTGTTAATAAATTTGGCGTGCATGATTACGTAACGAAATGTTAACGTGATTTTGTTAGAACAACAATTACGAATTTGCAGGATAATGAACTTGTTGTAATAATGGATTTTGCTGAAAATTATATATGTCTATTTCAAGATGAAATCCAATCCACGTATTATACTAAAGATCAAATAACTATACATCCTTTTTCAGTTTACAAAAAAATTAATGGTAAAGTCGAGCAAAAAAGTTTAGCTGTTATATCTGAAAGTTTAAAACATAATTCATATGAAGTTTTATTATATAAAAAAAAATTAATTGAATTTGTCAAAAATACATTTTAAAATACTGTAAAAAAAATTATTTATGTTAGTGATGGTGCCGGAAGCCAATATAAAAATAGAATGAATTTTCTAAACTTAGTTCGACATTACAGCATTTATTCTATTAGAGCAGAGTGGCATTTTTTTGCAAGTTGTCATGGTAAAAGTCCGTGTGATGGAATTGGTGGAGGTATAAAAAAATTAGCACGACGAGAAAGCTTGCTCGGTAAAATCATAAGTAATTCTGCAGAATTTTATAAATGTGCGAAGCAAGCTATGCCTAAAATAACGTTTATTTACTGTAGTCAAGAAGAATATGAAATTTTTGAAAGTAGCATGAATAGTCAATTAAAAGATGCTCTTACTATACAAGGAACACAATCACTGCATGCATTCATTCCAGTTAGTGATGACAATACAACGGAAAGTAAAGTAAAAAAAACTTCATAATCATCTGAATTTGAAATAAGACGCATAATTTAATGGGTTGTTTTTGTAAAATTACTTGTAAATAACTTATTAAGAGTATTATGGTGTAGGTCCGATAAAAAAACATTTTTAATGCGGCCGCATCCTAAATATGTGTCGGTCTCAAGTCCGCTCAAACACAGAGAGCAAATGTTTAATTTCAATATTATATCAGATTGTATAAAAAAATAGTTCATTTACATTACTTACTTAATTAATACATTTATATATTATTTAAATAAATACATATAGACTGTTAGAATATGAAATTATTTATTCTTTAAAGAAGGCAATTGCAGCAAGCAACGTTGGAACCGCACGAGTAACAGACGGCCGAGCGGCTAGCGCCCGGTTCGTTTCATTTTAGTGCAATCTTAATCTTAATAGCGGGCACTCGATTTTCTCAGCGGTTTCTTATGCAAAAAATGACAAGGAACACCATGGTGCAAAAATTAAAAAAAAAAATATCGTTTTTTCAGATGTCGATTTTTTGAAAAAATTGTTTATAACAATGGCATAAAATAATGATTTGGTATTTTATTATCTACATTTTAAAAGTGAAACTCTTTCCGCGTCTTTTAAAAAAAGAATCACGTCCATATCTTTATTAGTCTTCGAGAAATCGAATTAATAAAAAAAAGTCCAATATTTTTTCAACAGTTGATAACACAGCCCTTATCAATAATTTGATCTAAAACTCTGCACAGATGTTAACATCTGTATAGGTAACAAGTCTACCAACTTTGAACAAAATTGGTGATTTGAAGTTTTAAACTGTTTGAAATAGCCAAGAATTGCCCTGACTGGCTTATACCCCATATTTTCATTGGCTGGATCTTAACAAAAAAAAACAAATATATGCCTTAAGTAATATAGCAAAAAGTAGTTAATGGTAAGCTAGAAATACTAACTCACCAATATTTATGATTGCTACTTTTCTACCCAAACTCTCAAGAAATTTTCCCATTTCAGTGTAGTATGTTGTTTTGCCACTGCCAGGTGGGCCTATTTCTAACTAACCAAATATAATGCTCATTTTATGGACTCTTGAGATCCAGCTTTTGAATAGCATTGACAATAGTTCTCAAAGTTGAAACTTCATAGTCCTTTACACTAGTGGATATTAAAAATGGTTCGTCAGCATATATTTGTTCTGTAATATATCTAGCAGCTGCATGAATTTCTGTAGTAATACAACAGGAGAATGATTTATAAAACAATGCCAGAAAGAATCAACATTCATATAACTAAAACCTTAACTTACTTGATATTATCCATGAGTACAGAAAATCTTCAATTAAATGGGTTTTTGAAGTCAAAATTTCCTCAGTACAGAATCATTCCTGGTAAATATTTTTTCAATTCATTCTTCAGTTCCAAACCAGAAATATAAATTACAGCGATTAATTCTTAATTCAAACCATACAATATTATCACATTATATGTACCACCATTAATGTGAGTATTTTCATTTCATCGTGAACTGATACAGTCTTAACGCCATTGTATACAATTAGCTATGAAAAATTCATTTAGTTTGCAAGCTTCTGTACTATCCAAACCAAATACCATATAAATACCATAATAAAAAGCAATGGTCTTTTACATTTTTTAATTCTGTATGACCTTGAAAATTAAAAACATTTAATCTTTATTACAATAATCAACTGCACATGCTTCAGACATATTTTCAGAGTTTTTACCTTAAATTGCATATTTTTTCTTGTGAGAATAGCAAATTAACATTCTCCCTTGTACTCTATTATATGCAGCTGCTTTTGTAAATGATCCAATACATGTGTATGAATTTAATACAAAATTAGATGTGAAAGATTCTAATTTATTGGTCCATATTCAGAAAACAATAATAGCCTGAAGTGATTTGTATACAATTACTGAAAACCGTACTGATTATTTTATAATCTTTGAACAAAGCTATTACCTAAAATAAAAAAACGAATTCTACTGTGTTTATCAATTTTATATAGAAGTTATAGCGATTAATTTATAATACTACCTCCTTCAGATATTGGTTCAGTTTAATATCGGCATGATAAACTCTGACAGCATACTGACTCGAATCTGCAGCCCAGACAACTTCAAAAGCCTGTCCAAAAGCCTTGCTTCTCAAGCCTATAAATGTATAAATAATAAATTAAAATCACAAACTACAACGAATCTTCCTTTAGGATTGTGATGAATTGTTTGTGGATAGATTTCACAAGCACTCATGTCTTTGACAGTTAATAGCAACTTCTCACATTCCTGAGCTTCTTCTTCGAGTATTTTCAAATTGACCTATTGAAATTCACTGTGTTTTGCCCATACAATTTTACCGCCTATATACATAAAAAATTTTCTAAGCATAATGATCTTTACAATGGAACATGAAAGTTATTGCATATATGATAAGTTTATTTAATTTTTTACTATCAATAATATATAAATACATACCACTATTAGTTCCCTGTTGGAAATAAATTTATGCATATAATTGCAGTGAACAAATATGAGCATAAAATAACTTTTATAATCAGTTATTTACAGTTTATAATAGTTTATAAACGTCAGATTTTAGACACATATAATTGTTATTATCAATTTAATTGAGTTAATAAATGTTATCAACAGTTATTATCAATTCATAACACTTATTAACAGTTATTTTCTTTTATCATTCGTTGTTGAGAACTTATAGAATAATAGGTCTTGTATGGCCTGAATGTTTTTTTTAACATTGTAGACTTGTAGTACAGCTGAAACAAAATATGATTTTATTTATTCTTAATTTTGCTAAATGAAAAATATTTATCTATTTATGTTATTGTAGTTACGCACAAAGTCATGAAAATTATTTTTTTTTTTTTATATTAGTTATTATTTATTAGTTATTAGTTATTATTCTTTTTTATATTTTGTTTTTCTCTTTTTCTTTTCCTTTATTGTGTTACTTTTATTGTTTATTTTACTATTTTTCTATTGTATTGTTAATTTGTCGACTTTTGGATATTGTTTATAGCTATTCCGTTTATTTTTTTTCTTCTCACTATTGTCGTTTTATTAATTATTTATACTTCTTTTTGTTTATATTATATATTTTAATATTATATTTATATGTATCTTGATATGGGTTTATGCCCGTTTAATAAATTAAAAAACAAAAAAAAAAAAAAATTAAAATGCAACTTCTTGGTAGCTTTTAAAGAAATATGCGTTGAAAGAGTACTTATAGTATGCAGATTTCAATAAATAGATGAAACAGCTGAATAGAAAAGCCAACGAATCTTGAAATAGGTAGGCTTAATGTGAGTCCAAAAAAAGTGCATGCAGTAGATCCTTTGGAAAAAGTGAACGGATTGGCTATAACACATCTGGGTCTAACAAACTTACGATTGCTAATGATAAGAACACAGCAAAGAAGTGCAGAGTGGAATGCCGAAGCTCCCTGGATACACTGAATTGGTTAATCATAACAGCTGCAAATCAAAAATATAATATGTTTAATTTGATAAAAGCATTCTTTCACAATTATCATTATCATAATAAATACCTTTTTACAGTATAGTAGCTCTTTTGGTAGAGGTGAACTTGTTGGTTAACTCATCTGTGGCTAACATAGTTACAGTTGTCAGTGTTAAAACAGCAAAGAGCCCTAGAATTCAATCCCAAAGCTCTCTGGGTACAAGGCATTTGTTAGGCGTAGCAGCTGCAAATAACAAATACAATAAGTATACGTCTCATCGACACTATATTAAATTTGGTGAATACACTCTTGCACAATTATAGTATATAAACATTGCTCAACTTTAACTGCAAAGACAAAGAATTTCTCAAATATGACAAAAATCAAGTAATAGATACTGGTATCAAGCTATATATTACTTACAATAGCTTCAATAACGAGTGAACACTATAACTGTTATGTAAAATAACTAAAACCTTATATTATTTTATTTACTAAAACAAACTGCAGTGTTATTATTATAAATTTTTTTCTCTCTCCCTCTCTCTCTCTCTCACTCTCACTCTCACTCTCTGTTGTTCGCCCGCTCCCTCTCTTTTGCTCGCTGTCTGTCTCTCTTTCTTTCCATCTGACATATCTGACATGCGTGTGCTTTAAGACAAAGAAATCATTAAGAGCTTCGACATCATTTCCTGTAAGCCGGCTGCCGGTGCTCGTCGTTAATGTATTTAATTATTATTCTCTCAACATCGAGGTAAGCTTGAATTATATAAAAATAGATATACTTGAATATGAGAAACAATTATTGAAAAGTTTCTCGATAAACGCAAGTAGTCTGAACATTGACGTAGTTTTTAATTACATAACCTATCAATTGACTAAACGTACATTGTTATGATATTATTAATTTATTAATTAAAGCAGGACAAGTATATACTTAATACTGTATACTTGCAATGGCATATATATTATTTATTCATAGTATTTCAATTTATTCTCAAAAACTTCTCGAATACTAATTCTTTGTCTTTGCAGTTAAAGTTGAGTAATGTTTATATACTATAATTGTGCAAGAGTGTATTCACCAAATTTAATATAGTGTCGATGAGACGTATACTTATTGTATTTGTGATTTGCAGCTGCTACGCCTAACAAATGCCTTGTACCCAGAGAGCTTTGGGATTGAATTCTAGGGCTCTTTGCTGTTTTAACACTGACAACTGTAACTATGTTAGCCACAGATGAGTTAACCAACAAGTTTACCTCTACCAAAAGAGCAACTATACTGTAAAAAGGTATTATTAATATCATCATAATTGTGGAAGAATACTTTCATCAAATTAAATATATTGTCGATGAGACTTATATTCATTATATTTGTGACTTACAGCTAGCTGCTACGTCCAACCAATTCAGTGTATCCAGAGAAATTTTTCATTCCACTCGAGGGTTGCAACTATGTGTTAGCCCCAGATGTGTTAGCCGACTCGTTCACTCTTACAAAAGGATCTACTTCATGCACTTTTTTTGGATTCACATGAAGCCTATCTATTTGAAGAGTTGTTTGCTTTTCCATTCATCAGTTTCATCTATTCAAAAAGGTATTTATTGACATCTTCAAACTATAAGTAGACTTTTTCAACGCATGTATCTTTAAAAGCTACCAAGAAGTTTCATTTTAAATCATTTTTAATATTCATGTCTTTTTGCATAACTACGATAACGCAAAGAGATAAATATTTTTTATTTAGTAAAATTAAAAATAAATAAAATTATATTTCATTTCAGTTTTTCTTCTTTTATAAAATGTCAGACTCAGAGGTAGAGTTGAACAAACCTCACGCCTATATTTACATTATACCTACTAAAACTGGAGAACAGGGTACCAAAGTAATCGTACCTCTTAGTGAAATAAAAACGTTTTGATTACGAGGCATATAAGAATGATACAAAAATCAAGAGACAATACAAAAATTCACATTTTTTTGGAGGCGACCGAATAAAAAAAAAGGTGAAATGTTTTGTGTTATATGTTGGTGGTGAGTAAATAATGAACTATATAAATAGAGCAGAAAGCAATCACAGAATACAAATAAAATTGTTCAATTTTTTTAATATGCTATTTTCAATATTTTAGACAGTTACGATGACGTTCAGCTTTCTTCAGAGACAAACAGATTTTTTCCTCCATCATTCGGTACAACAATAACGGATGATAATGAAAATACGGTTTTAGAAGTCGACAATTCTGATGAGACCAATTGTAAAATCCAAGATAAGGATACCGAGGATGTATATACAATGCGATCGGCTAAGAAGGCAAGGAAAGAGAAAAAGAAAAAGATAAAAGAGAATCAAAATCTCATCAACGATCAAATTTTAGATAATTATCTTCGGAATCATCAAATTGATACTCCTGCTGCTACATCCACACCTATTTCCAGACATGGCAATACATCTACAGTAAGGGTTCCTTAATTTTTCTATAAATTTTAGGAAGCTAATCGACTTTATAAATATATACATATATATATAAATATAAATACTTTGTTAAATAATATATATATAAATACTTTGCTTAAAATCAATTTTAATGTAAATTTACCAACTATTTACAGGAAGACGAAAAAGATAAGATAATCAATAATCAAAATGAGGTAATTAAACAATTGCGAGACCAGTTAGAAGAAACTAGAAAGGAAGCTTCAACCAGCAGAGCTGAAAGTTTGGAAACAGAAAGAAATAAAGAAAGCAGCGACAGCTCAGACAACTCAGCTTGCTGTTCACGCGATCCTTTTCGAGTTCACGATAAAACTTTTGGATATACCGAAAAGAAATTAACGGAGGAACTACAGTACGATGACCAAGGGAACGTGCATATTGGATACAATGTTTATTGTAATCTTGTATCATACACGATAGTTTTAAAACTAAAAATCCTTATAAATGTTTGTCAATATTAAGTGAAGGCGTATATGGGTTAAAAGATTTAGCGTAAAGATGTGTGAGAAAACAGAAAAATATGCTACACAAAAAAGAACTGTCTCCCGTGAAACGGATGGCTATAGAAAGACAAGTGTATTGCTTTATGAGAGCAAAGGATAAAACCATTAGTCAAGTAGATGATTTTTTAAATGACATTAATGGAAACCATCATAAAGCTATTACTTCAGCTGCCATTAGACAAAAAAATTTAGAGAAATTAGCAGAGTTAAAGGCTACAAACTTGGAAAACTAGTTGGTAAATGCATTCAAGATTATATAATTACAGAGAATCAAAAAGAGACTTTTAATTTTTTTAATTTATAACAAATAACGATTTGATATTTTCTTTTACCAAAAAAACATTCTTATATTCATGAGGAAAAAACGTTTGTATGAAATATTTAATGATTTTTATTTCATTAACTGTATAGTTAATAACGTTGTACATGCGATATGTAGTTTCTAATCAAAAGTATTAATATGTTTATGAAGTTCGATAACATTCGTTGATAAAGTAATATTGAGCAAATATTTTTTTTAAATATTAGAATAAATATGTTTATACTTAACTATTATGTACCTTCTTGTTTTATTGAGTGAATAAAGTAATTATTTACTATTATATTATTACAATTAGTCTGGATTTTACATTCATTTTGGAATATACTATGTATATTTTTCTGTTGGTGACTATCAATAACCGATAGTAACCGATACTAACTGTTAATAACTGTTAATAACTGTTATTAACGGTTAGTGTCTCTTACTTGCAATTGTTGACTTACAATTTTGAATTTTTCAATTTTGAAAAATTATTATAAATGTTAAAAATTGTTATTATCAGTTACTGTTAATTATATACTGTTGGTAATTGTAAATAACAATGTATTACCTATATTAACAGTTATTAACATATATTTTCATTTATAAATCATAAAAATATTTTTTTTTTAAATGCTAATAATTGTTAATAACTGTTACAAACTGTTAGAAGCTAAAAGTAATTGTTATCAATAGTTATATGTGTCTAAAATCTGACGTTTTAAAACTTTTATAAACTGCAAATAACTGCAAATTACATTTACTAATAGTTTGTCGCAGAAATTATTTCCGACAGGGATTAAAATGAATAGTTGAGTTAGATGAACTATGATACATCTAATATAATCACTGTGTTTCAAAAGAGTGAATTCGCTCTAATGTATTATAATTGAAAATTCTGATCTGCATATCATTGAACATAATATTAATTATGTTAGTACAGTAAACCAATATAATTAATTAACTTACAAAATTATCTATTCGTACAGCATTTACAGCTTTTCAATAAAAATGTTTTCGCGGAATCGTTTTTGAAAATGTAAACATCACTGAAACTGGAACGTGGAATAGAACAGCTAATGCGAACGTACAAATAATATAGATTCGTCTCGATTTCATGAAAATGAGCAACATTGTTCCATTCGAGGCGCATGCGCGAAACAATGTCATAATAACGTTTTTAAATGTGCAAGAATATTATTTTATTTTAATTAATTAAATGATAAACTTTTTAATAACTTTATGTTGGGTGCCAATAATGCGTGAGATGTACTAACGATTGGTATATTGTAAAAAATTATTTTAACGATATAAACCACTATATTTGGTGAATCAAATTTGGGTACTAGCGCCAGCACCCATAATTAATTTTATCCATTTTTCACATAAGGAAAATGAGCATAATCGACGCACAAACGATATGTGATGAATTAAAAGCACCTAATCGAATGGTGCAATTAGTTTATAGATTTATTCAGTATTTCAATTATTGGTTCCTAACTTTTAAAGCCTAGGAATTAAGACCTCCCCGGATCCAGCCTGCAAATTAATGCAAAAAAAGTATTTAGACGTGTAAACCCATAGTTTTTGAATTGCCCAATTCAACAGCGTTATTTATTTAATTTGCCCACTTTCACTTTACTTACAAAAATTAATAATTATATCCGGTATCACTGCAAACTTCAAGCATCAATATCTCGATAATTAAGTAATATTTCTTAATTTCTGAAAATGCAAGAAATTGCCCTTAAGATGATTTAATTTGCCCAATCAATTGCGATGACAATTAATAAATTTTTCATATGAAAATTATTGAAAAACTAAAGTATGTCCGATTCGCGCACTGCGCATGCGTAGTCAAATTAAGGGTATCTCATCGGATTTGATAATGCGACTATCATTACCTATAAAAAAACGTAACTAATCATAAAATATTTTTCTTTATTATATGTATACGATTTTAACTATTTTTCCCACTACAATAAAGGTCATTTTATTTGATTTGAAAATTTTTACAGAAGAGTTTCATTAGACAGTGACTTATGAGGTTCATTAATGTTCTTATTTTATAGAATTAGAATAATTATAATTTAATAGCTACATATTTAGACATCGGTTTCTCTGATAAAAAATACCATCCAATATGATATGAAAAATAGCGGCGTTGTCAAATATGTGCGGTACGATACAGACTTGATTTCATTGCGCCTGCGCAATACGAGAATCGTATAAACGCTATAGTTATTTAATAATTATCACATGAAAAATTGATGAATTATCATTGCAA